ACATGGTCAGGCATGGAGTGAGAGTTCACTTGGTTCCTGGCTGTCACAGAGGTGCTGTTGGTGTGAAAGCTGATGTTCCCACTGCTCCAGGAAACAAGGAGGAGCTGTCAGTGACAGAGGGGACTGAATCATGCAGGAGGCCTCTGGTTATGTTAAACCTCTTCAGTGGATCCTGACCACCCCCGCCACTAGGGCTCAGTCCTAGACCAGATTGCACTATTTATTCAGTCAACCTTTTTTCCTGCCTCAGAGGTTCACTTAATGAATCAAGGTATCTCAAACCTTGAAAGATAATTTTTAACTAGAAAGTAACCTATTTATATGAATGATTTTCTGCAAGTGGTTCTAACTGGCCTTAAATTTTCTGGCCTGAGTGAATACAAAATTGTTTCAAAAAGATCCAAAACCAGATGACTGAAAATTAAAAGGACAAATAAGTGAAAGGAACCTGTTTAGAAATATCATGATTTTTAAAACTGATATTTTATCAAAATCTATCTGTAACCAGAGAATGGGCATTCTGGTTTTTGAAAAGGGTACTTATATTTTGTTGTAAGATTTTGAGTTATTTCAACATGTGAAAAATTGTAGTTGGTTTACAGTGAAATATTTCCATTTTTTAATGCACACACCCCAAACGTTTATTTAAGACAGTGTGTTCTCTTTATCCTCTGTTAGGTAGACAACATAATATTATATAGCAAGACTATTTTGAGCTTGAGGCTTATGGAAAAAGCTGACCCACAGGTTCATGGTTTAGCCTCATTTATTAGAAAGGTAAATCAAAGAAATATTGGATGGTCATAGTTAGAATAAATAATGTACATCACTATGTAAAGAAGTTCATCTTGATGCTAAAAACTAAACATTTCCCTTTGACGGACATTCCATTAACCAGTAGATAGTGTTAATTTTTAGTAGAAGTTATACAGCCCTGTAACTCATATGTGAACTGTTTATTCTTGTTCCTGCTACCTTAATTCTTTTTACTTCTGTTTTTTCTCTCACCACTGGCTTTTAATGGCCTTGGCATTTAGTACTCTCTGTGGCTCCAATGCACTTACTATCTTTCCCTACTTACACTAAACCCTCCTGTTTTTTAAGAATCCACATCATTGCATTCTTGTCTTGGAAACCATTATTGACTAAGCTGAAGCAATGTTTTTATATCCCCTTACCCACCAGAGTCCTGTGCATATATGCATCATGCCTAAGTAGTTTGGTAATTGGTGTTCCTGTTTATCTCCCCAAAGCAACTGTGTTTCCTTTATTTTGGTATCTTCTATCTCAACATAGCTCCTTAAGCCCTGCACATTTTAAGGTTCATGAATAAATGAATAAAACAGTTATTAAGTTTAGCTTTGTATGACTATGTGCATGTGTGCGTGTTACTAGAGATTGAATGTAGTGACTTGATACTGAGTTACTTTCTAAATTTTAATTTGAGAGAGTGTCTCACTAAGTAGCCCAATCCTCCTGCCTCTCAGCCTTTCAAAATGTTGAGATTATAGACTTGTGCCACCACACCTGACTGAATTTAGCTTTTGAATGGCCAGGAGCTCAAGAAAATCTCTAAACTATTTTTATTCTAATATGAAATAGATAGAATACATGTGCCTTCATTACAGCACACAGGACATCTGAATAGAAAAATATAAAACAATGTTAGCATATTTCTAATATTTATGGCAAAAGCAGGTTGTTAGAGATTACCTAGCATATATAAAACCACAGGAAGTCTTTGATCTGTGGCATATATATCAGTTCTGGACTATAATTTGAAAGTTGGAATTAATACTAAATTAAAACTAAATGACTTGAGAATTTCATTAGAAAACAGGATAGAGTAGTGAAGGAAACAATCCAGATCCCTACATGGGACATACTAGATATTCACTTAATATCAGTTAAAGTCCAGTGGATGTTCATATGGCTCCATGCGTGGTGTTCCTGGACTAGTGGACAGTTTGGTGTGATTTAAATAAAAGGTCAGTGTGGAGACATCTGGAAGTGAAACTGAGACAATCAGGAGGCCACAAATCATGAAAGTGTGAGCATGTTGTTCTAAGGGTTTAGACTTTATCCTCAGGTCAATAGGGAGTTAGTGAAGGGGCTGTGGGTCAAAATGGTATGATTTAGCTAGCATTAGAGGAGTGTTATTGAGCAGATCAGGGGAGGACACACAGGGAAAGAGTATGAAATAGGAGGAATGAATGCACGCTAGGTAGAAAGCCTGGCAGAAGATTATGTGGGCCTGAAAGAAAGTTGTAATGGTTAAGAAAAGAGGAAATGAATTCCGGAGATGTTTAGGACTTGGTGGCTGATTAGATAGAGATGATTGAAGGAAAGAAGCAGGGATTATGTTGTGCTGTGGTTGCTGAAAGGACAAAGCATTATTTTCTACAATATAAAACACAAGAGGAGAAGTGGCTAAGCAGAAAAAAGCACAAGAGGAGGAGCAGCTAAGCCAAGAGGAGTGCAGCTTTGGAACATATGAGAATCCCAGGTACCTGTGAGACATGTAGGCAGACATGTGCAATGGAAAATGGATGGCCTTGTTCTAGAGCTAAACAAGGAGTTTGGGTAGCTCAAGGTGTTTTAGAGTAGTCTGTGGAGAAGCGAGAGCGGGTCAACTTTAGTCAGACTCAGAGTATGAAACCAGCAGGTTGAGCTGGCAGAGTCCTGAAGGCCAGTGATAACAAGATGTCTTGAGGAAGTGGAGCCAATGATAGAATCTGAAATGAGATTTCCAGAAAGCCCAGAACAAGGGGAGAGCAGAGTGATGTCACACTATTGTGATCACAGAGTTTTTCAAGATGTTATATTCTGGAGTAAGACAGACATGACTTTCAACTGCGGTTTCAGAAATACTAGCTGTATCTCACTAAACTAACTCACTTCTCTAAGGCCTAGTTTCCTAGGTGGAAAATGGGCATGAAAACAGTATCTATCTCCTAGCATCTATGTGAATGATAAGTAATATCCTGTGTGTAGCACACTGTGCAATGAATGTCGTTTCCAGTAAGTACACAATAATTGTTCTTGGTGGAAGAAGTACTAGTACTAATAGAAATAGCATGGTAGTAATAGTACCAATAGTGATAATGATCATTACTATTTTATTATTTATTAAGAAAATTTCAAAAAATTATCCAGTAGGGTTTTTAAGATTGGCAAGTATTTGGGAAAATATTTTTATTAATTTAAGCACCCAAAACTTCCCAGTGAATTTGATAACTTAGAATTGGTTGGCAGCCTCAATACATACAATTTTAGTGGGACAAGATGTCCTACTGCCATATAGATAAGGTGTTAATGGAAGGTGAAGGCACTTCAATTGATTGATTATATAGAGCCCTCTTTTGGCTTTTATGAGGAAAAAATGGGGCAGCAGTCGAGTGTAGTGTCCTCAGCCAGCATTCCTGGCCTGTTCCAATATGGTCATTCTTGAAATCAAATCATTCTATGTGTAGTTGTTCCATTGCCCACACTGTTCCTCTTCCTAGAAACCAAGAGCCAACTCTGATCATCTTTAAGACTCACCCAACTACCAGGTTCCCCCAGGAAGTCTCCTAAAATTCCCCTCTTCATCAGCTCCCCCATGCCCACTCTGTTAGTGTACAGCCCAGCACAATCTCCGAATCACCCAGTATGGATGGCCTGGTGCTGGTATTGCCTGCCCCAGAAGTCTATCTAGCCACTGACTCCAGAGACAGGCCTTCATTTCTTGGTTGTGTTTGGTATGTAATGTGCCCCTACAGCTTGTTTTGTTGATAATGATAAAGTGATTGGAATATATTGTGACATAAAATTGGTATTTTTATTCACTTAAAAAATAATTTTGATATGAAAATCTCAGTTATGTACATAGTTAAGGCTATGTACATAGTTAAGGATAATTCAAGCTCTTGCATTACTTACTGATGCTAGCGAAATTTTATCTTTCTGTTTAAAACAGCTTACATTTAAGTTTCTTTGAACTAACAAAACAGGTCATAGTTCTTCCTTTTCATAATTTAGTCCTTTGGATCTGTAGGACAACTCAAAGTCTAAAAATCCATACTCTTAACAAACTGTAACAGTGTTTTATAAACTCTAAGGAAACTTTCAGTTTTGGGTTATAAATATCTCTCTGAGGATTTTTAAAAACTTTTTTATTGGTTATACAGATAAAAGAGTTTCATTTTGGCAAGTTCATATAGACATATAACACACTGATTATTTTCACCTCCCCATACTTCTACTACCTTTTCCTCCCCCCTTAGTTTCATATTTGGAAGGAGTTTCATATCTGGGGGGAGATTCAATGTGTCTAATACATTTTCTTCATATCTCTCCCCTAATTACCATTCCTTACACCTTCTCCCTCCCTCTTATTCCCTTCCTCTTGTATAGTTGTAAGCAGTAGAATAAGATCGCTCAAATACTTACTAAACTGTAAAGAAAATAATGTTTAAAAGGATATTTTATTATATATTACTTTTTGTGGTCTAGATTTATGTTATTTCAGTTTATAAACATTAAAAGCTTATGGCAAAGGAAAAACAGAATGAGAGGAAACTAAACAAGATTTTAAATATGTACATTTCAAAATGGGACTTTAACAGTGTGAGCCCTACTAGGAGTTATAGTTCTGAAATGAACTTTGAAATGCATTTCTGATTAATTGGAGCCAATTAGATGAATCTAATGACCATGTTATGCTCTCTATTCTAGTACTCTATACTACAAAAACAAGAGACAAATAAAATTACAGTATCCTATTTGCAATCATTATTCTTCACAAATTGATCATTCTGTATTCTGTTACCTGATTTCATTTCAACACCCATCATGATGAAAAATGCAACAGAGTGCTACTGGCCCTCTGGGCATCAATAAATATTGATGATAATTAAAATACTAATTGCAAAGAAACACTGTTGTATGCTATCAGTTAAAAAATAAGAATTGTGCTCTTGTATATTGTAGTAATATTGTAGGAAACTTTTATTCATGGCCCTAATTTGAAAGATTTTCCCCTTATTAGTGGTTCCTGGTAGAGAAAGACAAGAATGGGAACTTGATTTACAACTCTTGGCTCCTGTCCTTCCCTCATAATGATGACAAGTTTCCAATTTCTCTGGAAAATGAAAAATAAATTCCGCTGTTCAACAATGCAACCTTCTGTATACATACAAGTTAAACACAAAAACTCCCATAATTAATTAAAGATTACATGCTTTTTTTATATATTCATTCCCTTCAAAGTTTTACCCTATAAGGTATTTATTAACATGTTACAAGATAGGAATCCAAAGCAAAGAGAGATACTATCCCAAGCTGGAATTCAGATCTGGGCTTATCTAACCTCAGTGCATGTATCTCTTCCCCTAAACCACACTGCTTCTCTTGGGACAATGTGAACACAAAACAGACAAGTGGGATTCATGTCTAATTTGAGCCAGAGGGAAACCAAAGTTAGATACTCAGATATACCATGATGTGTGAGTGCCAGGAGTGCCCATGCCCCTCTAATATATTTTGAAACATGGAAGAACTATCAGATTTCCTGTGTTAAAAACAAACAGAATTTCCCTAATAAAGCCCTTCTTTAGTGTACTGAGGTGAGTTACCAAATTACTGTAAATAGGAAGCTCAATAATTTTTTTTCTGAAAAATTCATAAATAGGGACAACAGAAGTCAGCTCTCAAGTGTGTAAAATGTAGTGTGTGTCAAACAATTAGGATGCATCTCCATTGTCCCAAGCAAGTCAATATTGTAAGGAAATTAAGGTACCAGAGATATTTGATTTAGCTTTTCCTGGGAAACATCACAAATTTGAGATAATTATAACTTTCATAGCACTTCAGTAGCTCTTCATAGGTCTGTGTCTCCTAACCTTTTGAAAAGGTTATTTTCAGTCCCTCGTTTAAGTTGAACCAGCTGTGTTCATTAGTTAAGAAAGTTAATTGCTATAGGCATGCATTTTTATGAGGATGTGAAAGTGGACATCACTTCATCAGTACACCAGAGGAAAAAATTGCCAGATCCTGAGCTAAGGCTGAAGCTATGGCTGAAGTCTAATATGCCTACCTGGAGGTAGAGGAGGCACTGAGACTTTGCTGTTATTTTTTATTATTCACTGGATGGATATTAACAATGAAAAATAATACATTTGGAGCAAATGTCAGAAATACTTGAGTAAACTACTGTAGTTACATTTTGAATTATTGAACTAAGGTAAGGCAAAGTAGCATTTTAATTCTAGTAACAATTAGTTATGTTCCTCTCTGTCAACATTTCTTCTGACAGTGAGTGCCCAACGCTCCGATTTCAAGTATCTCTACCACGCTGAGTCCATGTTTGGAGTTTCTGGCTAGTATAAGTGGTTTAAAGAACAATGTTGCATGGATGAATAAAAATGAATGTAACTATAAGAGCTTCTATAAAAACATATACCTGCAAATCTCAGAATGATTATTTCTGCTGTGTTTGTGAGGTAGGATTTCCTAATGGTACAGGAATTATGAAAATAAGAAATGAGATCAGATTCCTCATGTAGAGAAATTATATGGACTAGAAAGGGTACAGAACGTGACTTTGGCAAAGAAGACAAAGACTAGCCGTGAGAATCCATCTGACATTAACAATTTCTGAGCCTTCACATCAACTTGTCTCTGGGCTTTGTATAGGGTATCTCATTTTTTTTCCTTTTTCTGCTACTCTAAGTCTGTTATACTTGTCCTCCTGACACCAGGTTTCAAATGTTACTGTTTTTGTCTTCTTCCCTGTTTTCTTTGTTTTGGGGAGATTGTGCCATTTTATTACAAAATTAGAATTGGTGTGGGGCTACCAAAAAGTGTAAAAATATCTATATGTAATCTGTGTGTAATTTTTTCAAGTGTGAGCTTTGGTCCTTACTACATTACAAGAATTTTTCCAATGAATTTGGGGACTTAAGATTTAAGTTGGTCTCCTATCTTCTGCATTGCACTGGTAAGAATCAACATTCGTGAACTATTGCAACTAGCCATAATCAGGAGAACAAGAACATTACAATGTTTGTGGATATGGCCTTATAGAAGGTCTGAACTAAGATATCTGGAATAATGTAGACATCTTGGACCACAAATGCTTTTTTTTTTTGGTACCAGGGATTGAACTTGGGACCTTGCACTTGTGAGGCAGGCGCTGGAACCACTGAGCTAAATCCTCGGCCCTACAAATCCTTTTAATATCTCATGTGTCTAAAAATCTTCATATTTGGCAAACTTATATGTATGGAACACCAGTAAGAAAAAGCAATTAAGAAAAACAAATTCCTGAGCAAATTGATGCTGCTGAGTCCATGCACCATCACATCTACCTTACTCACACGTATGCTCCTAAAGAAGGGTCTCTTTTTGTCCAAAGACACCAGGTGTAATAAAAATATACATTGAATGTTTAAATTTAAAATTTGATTATAGTAAAAGACACATTGCCATTAAACCTCCACAAAATAATCCCTCTCTGTGAACACACGTATTCCATAATTCTTTCCACTTTCTGAAACAATTCTGGAAGTCCTCTTTCATGAGTATCTTTATGAGTTGTGAACAAAAATACAGTGAATGCCACTGCTGTCAGCCATCCAATGGAAAGGCAGACTTGTAAAGGATTATAGCATGTCCTTATTCACCCCATTCACTGGATCTGGCACTGGACATTTTCTGACTTTTCCCAGAGACAAAAATGACTGCAACAGGTAAAGGTTTTATATCCATTCAGGATATCAAGACAGCCATGACAGGGCAACTAAAGACACTCAAAACAGGATCTCTAGAACTGCTTTAGAAAGTGGCAAGAATGATAGAGTAAGTGTGTTCAAAGCAAGAATAATACTTTGAGAGGATTAAGTGCCAGTGTGTCTTTTACTATAATAAATTTTAAACATTTTTAAATATTCACTGCATTTTTCTATCATACCTCATATACTTGGGATATGCAACCCAGGAATGTTCCAACCAGTTTTATACTTGGCACACTTGAGTACATTTTCCACCTAGATTTTCTCATTTTGGCTGGTACATTATTTGCCATTGAGCTATTTTGTATGTGTGTGTGCGTGCATGTGTGTGTGTTTGTGTGTGTTTGTGTGTGTGTGTGTGTGTGTGTGTGTAGTGAAGTTTCTATCTGATTCATTCAGATCCTATAGAGCTCAGGTTGTCTTTTTCAAGAAAAACAGGATAGGGTTAGAGTCTGCTAAAATTTTTAAGGAGATCACTAACAACATAAGTGGCTGCAAAGGATTTACAGTAATGAAAGAGAAAAACCAATTTTAACATAAGTCAAGAAACTCTGGTATTAGAAGGAAGGCTGTTTCGTACAAGTACAGAAAGATTATTACTTCTCAATAGCCACAAGGCATCACAGCTCTTCATAATTGGCTTCTGGATTCATCAGGCCTAGGTATGTCCTCTCCAAATCACTGTAGTTGCTCTCTGTTAAACTTAACCCTTACCAAACAAAACAGTGCACCTCTCTTCCTCTGACATTTCTTCCACTGCTTCATGGATTTGCTCTTCTTAATCTATATCCCAGCATCCACAGAATGACTAGTCCATGAACTATACCAAGAATGCTTTGTAGAGTAACTAGATTGAGAAAATGGACACACACACACACACACACACACACACACACACACCATACTTTGCACATCCCTAATCCAAGTATCTAAATTAAAAATGCTTCAAAATTTGAAACTGTTTGAGCACCAACAGGATGCTACAAGCGGAAAATTCTACATTAAACTTTGTTTCATCCACAAATTATTTTTTTCTTAAGTTCTTTTATTGCTACATTTTAGGTATACAATACATTTACATTTATCATTGGTTGCTTGTACCTGTACATGATGTATCTTGGTTCTTATTTTTTCCCCGTTACCTGTGCGCCCTTCATTTCCTCCTCCACCCTTCCCTATTTACATAGACATCATTTCCTTTTTTTTCTTTTCTCATATTTTTTCCTTTCCCTTCTTTCCTTTCCCCTTCCCCTCCCTTCACCCCTACCTCTTTGGACCTTTTTTCCTATTTCAAATTATCAATTATTCATTTTAATCATTTTAACCCTTATTTATACTTTCAGTTTCTCACACTGGAGAAACTATTCAGTATTTACACATGTGCAGAAGGTTTTGTATGAAACATAAAAAAAATTTCCATTTAGTTTGGATCTCATCTCAAATATACCACACTCTAATATGTAAATGTTTCAAAATCCAAAATCCATAACATTTCAGATCCCAAGATTTTTAGATAAAGGATGCCCATATTTTTATAGAAATACTGATGAGGCTCAGTGGACTACTTCCAAAACAACATGTATAAAAAATATATCTAATTCTCATAGGAATGGATAGGTAGAGATTAAAAAACACAAAGTGAACAGAGTTGTGTTAACTTTCCATTACTGTGACCAAATGCCTGAGATAAATTAACTTAAATGAAGTTCATTTTGACGGGTGGTTTCAGAGGTTTCAGTCCATGGTTGCTCAGCCCATCATTTTGGGCCTTTGTTGGCATAATACCTTATGGCAGGTGTGTGGTGGAAGATGTCTGTTCGCCTCATGATGGCCAGAAAGTGGGGGCCTGGAGGAGACAGTGAGAGAGAAAGAGAGAAAAGAATGACTGGAGTCCAAATACAGTATCTCCTTCAACTGCACCCCCGCCAATGACCCAACTTTCTTCCACTAGGCTCTATCTCCTAAACATTCCACCACCTCCCATTAGCACCACAAGCCTTTAACACATGGCCCTTCAGGAACACTCTGCAGGCAAATTACTGAAAGAGTATACGCAAGGACATTTTTGAATGTTAACAGTGTCAGCTAAGAATATAAACTATGAAAATTTGTGAAATCAGAAAAAAATCTAAAATAGTGTTATTATAACACTAGCTTACAGATTTGTGGCAAACCTTTAAATTTTCTTTGAATGACTTCAACCTATCACTTAACGTAAACTTTGATGATTCCACAGAAATGTAGCCAACTGTAATGGAAAAGAAGAATCGCCTCTCTCATCCAGGTGATCAGGCCGATTTTTCCAATAGAACTTTACTTCTCAGATATCATGATGCAGTATCAAATAATCAAGTCCATTATAGACAAGGAAGTTTACTGAATCTCCTATTTCTCACTAGAAATCAGACTATGTACATTCTGGTTTATTCTTTTTTTCCTAAAGTAAACTATTCATCACCATTAAAATATCAATAAGAAATGGCCCAAAAATTCTCAAACATCAAGATGATTCCTGAACGGAAAATAAAACTATAAGAAACATATAAGTAATATATAAAATCTAAAAGAAATTAAGAGTAAATATTTATAAATTAGCCAGCTTCTAATCTGATTGATTTATTTGTAAATTCCACTGAAGTATGTTTTCTAATAATATGATTCCATTAAAAAAATCTTGGTTGAATATCATGCTTATATTTTGTGACACATCTTTCTAAAGAAGTTCCGTGTTAGGCTACAATACCAAATGAGACATGCCTCATTTAAATAAAATTATTTGGACTTTGCTTTCTTGACTATGAAATAATACCTGAGGTAATAAATTGATAAGGAGCAAAGGTTTATTTTGGTTTCATAGTTTCATAGTTTCAGTAGTTTCAGTCCATGGTCACCTGGCCCTATTGTTTTGGGGCCTGTGTTAGAGCAGTATGTCATGGAGTTGTGTGGCGGAGAAAAACTGTTCAACTCATGACAAGCGTAAATTCAAGCAAAAAGAGAGAGAAAAAAGGCCTAGAGTCTCAATATCACCTTTAAGGGCATGCTCCCAGTGACCTAACTTCCTTCCACTAGACCCCATCTCCTAGAGTTACACCCAAAAGCAACACAGGATGAAGACCAAGCCCTTAAGATACGGGACTTTGGGATTTGGGGAACATTTAAGAAACAAACTAGGTAAGGGCTGGGATTTAGCTCAGTGGCACTGAGCCTGCCTTGCAATCGCAAGGTCCTGAGTTCGATCCCTGGTACCGGAAAAATAAAGAAACAAACTAGGGCTGGGGATGTAGCTCAGTGATGGAGCACTCCCTAGCATGCTGAGTTTAATTCCCTTACCAAAAAACACCCTTCCAATCCCTATGAAGCTTCTATCTCATACTGAATAAAAAGTATGAACATATTCACTGACATTTTGTAATACTATTCTTTATTCTTCATTCTGGTTTAATCTGTACTATTTAATCAGGCCCCTAAAAAGCATCAAGAGCATTCCCATCTTTCCTGTGTGGTTTCTTCTAAAAATGTGCTCCTTCCTCACTTTTACTGACCAAAGAAGTCTAGCTTCACACTCTCATCCAATCACTTTTTTGGGATCGCTTTGCAAGCCTTTTTTGGGATCATCTCATATGACCATAGAAAAGGGCTTGTGGGATTTTTTTCCCTACATCTCATGGCACAGATTGAAACAGGAAGCTGATGGAGTCAATGCTGGATTATTTAACTCCTTCAAAAGACAAATTAAGCCACAAAAGAGGAGTTTTAAAAGGCAGAAAGTGCACAGAGACATTCTGCCTAATCCAGCACCATTTTCTACATCCTTGGTGGAAGCCAGTGCAGTTCCAAGAACTGCTGAGGTTGTGTCCTCCAAACAAGTCCAGATTCCTTAACTCAGTCCTTGCTTACATATGAGGGGATTTCAGGCCAATTTTCAAGCCTTCATTTGCCTTGAGTCCCAACTGCCACCAACCCTATTCCCAACCCTTGCGTGTTGAAAAGAGGCAAGCAAGGGAATAAGAAAGAGAAGAAATGGTGGTGATCACCAGTCTTGTTCACTGTGTTACCAATAAGGCGCTAAAAGATAGATTTTCCTCTGTTAAGAATGCATTCTGAGAATCTTCCATATTCCTAATAAATAGTTTTCCTATTTTATTAAATAATACTCACAGCCTGGTTTTCTAAGTGTATAGTTTTTCTTAAAACAATTTTCAGTTTCTTGGGAGCATAAAGTTGGGGTAGATACAGATATATAGATATGATTTATTGCCCTAAGTATTCAATGCACCTGATATATCTCTTATGACATATATGGATATATAGTCTGTATATGTATATAACACAGGGTTAATTAACAGTTTTCATTTTATAGTCCATTGGGTTCTTCCTTCCAACATGCTGAGTATAGAGTAGCTGTATTATGTTGATATTCTCAGAGAAGCAGTCACTTACCAGAGTGAGGAAGAAGGACAGACTAGAGAACAGTGCACTTTCAGAGTTTTTATCTGTTTATCAGCCTTAAAGTTTATGTTGCAGCATTATCCTCTTTCCACAGCCTGGTTTGGCCCATGCTTCCTGTGCTGGTTGTTTTAGTAGCTTTGGAAGCATTCTTTTAATAAGCCTTTAAATCCCTTATCAGAGTTGGGCAGATTGTAGGGTTCAAATATCCAGAGGGACTAAGATCCACTTCAAAGGGGGGGGGGGGTGTTGAATAGCTTTGTTTTTTTTGGAATTGGCCAAAATCTTAATCTTTGTCTCTCCTGAGATTTGATCCCACATTTGAGTAATTAAAAACAGGATTGGGGTATATACTCTTAAGCTACAGAAAAGCAAAATGTGTTTCCAGCAATAAATATAGTCTCTAGGGGACAAGTATACCAATAGTCAGTTATGTTTGCTTGAATTTAGCTTTCTTTTTTGTCATTCTACACTACATTAACATATTTACTTTACCATTTGGATTAGGAAATGGAAGTATCTTGAGCCAAAATTTTATTACTAGTCCAAAAGTAAATATGTTAATTCTATTGGATTTTGTTCCTTCAGATTTTGAAGTAAAATTCCAAATATTGGTGGGGCCATTGGAAATTATATGACCTGAGTATGATTAATACTGCACAAGGCTTTCTCCTCATATCTGTTTTTTAAAGGCTTTATCCTAGTCCCAAAGTGCATGCTGTAGGACAGATGTCTACTCATTCCTTAAGAAATGGGTTCCCGGGTGGAATGAGATTGAGAATGCTGTATGCTCTAAGCTTTCCCATGTACATGCTTAGTGTACATTCATGTGTCAAAGCCACTAAGAATTGCTGCAGTAAAGAATTCTATTTCTATAGCCCAGTACAGTGTATTTCACTTTTAATTGATGGAAAGTGATTTTAAAACATAACACCTAAAAACAGCCAGGAAAAAAAATAAGGTTCTAAAAACATACATTTTGGGAAATCCTTTCCTAAGTTGTTCAGTGTAGAACTGTATAAAGGATGCTATGTGTTCTGTATCTTTTTTTTTTGGTACTGGGGATTGAACTCGGGACCTTGCACTTGGGAGGCAGGCGCCGGAACCACTGAGCTAAATCTCTGGAGTGTTCTGTATTTTTGTAGAGTGTTTTGGAAAGGATTTTTATTCTTTGTAAGAGCATAGGCAATAAAGCTTGACCGTGTGTGTGTGTCTGCACTCACACACACACATGCATAAAGCTGAACAACTTGTGTCCAGTGCTTAGTTTTGTCTGCCTACGATGGCTTTAGGAAGCCTTTTCACTTGGTATTCTCAACTCTCAGGGGCTGCAGTGGAGCTTATCTGCTGAAAAGATCTAGAATGGAAAGCACTGCACACATATTTGATTTCATACTAAACCTAAATCATGCATAGAGTTTCACTTGAACACAGTTTGGCACATTTCTCAAGATCTTACCTCACCCCCAACTTCCTGTGGGATTAACCATAAATTCTGAATAAGAAAACTACTGGCCAAGCTGCTTCCTGCAACAAGAGAATAAACACTTTGTACTAGAAACTTTTCCACATCAATGATCAATTTGAAAAATTCTGCATATTTACCTAAGAATAGGAGGCAGTTAGGTCATTTGACTGCATATATTATTAATTCAATTCATAAGAAAACAGGATATTACCAAGAAAAGCCAGATAATATGAGAATGTTAGGCTACATATGTTGATATTTCAGAACATGAGTTTAGACCATCTCAACACTAACACAATTGACATTTTGGGCCAGATAGGTCCAACTCTTCCAAGGGTGGACTATTCCGTGTATTGTAGGATGCTTGGCCTCCCTGGTCTCACCGTTCCAGGAAATGCCAATAATCAGCAAGAATTCTCTGCAATAATCATTCTCTCAAGCCCTTAGAATATTCACAAAATTCCACCTGCATTGTATATTAACTAAGTGAAGAAAACTATTGTTTATCTTGGCCTACAAAAAAAATCTTGTCACATTGATCCTCGTTTTATCACTTGCTTTTTAAGGAGAGACAGAGACAGAGACAGAGACAGAGACAGAGGCAGAGACAGAGGCAGAGGCAGAGGCAGAGGTGATTTCCACCAGTGATGTGGTTTGGCTTTTGAACAGACACTTGATCCAAAACTCCTCCCCACCCCCAAGAAATCCACTCATGGTTTCTACTGCTCAAAACAAATGGGCCTTTAGATTACTTTCCTTTACACCATTTTCCTACAGACTAAGAAAAAATTAGAAGTATTTCAGAATTTATGTGCATTTACATAAAGCCCAATTTTCACACTGAATGCCCAAATGTTAGGCTCTTCAGATAAAGATCTTAGGCTGCCTGCATCGCAAGCACAAGGACCTGAGTTTGATCCCTGGTACCAAAA